TGCCAACTTATGATCTACAAGACCAAGAGACCTATGGGGCCACATTGCTCACCTGAGCACTTCGGCTAGGAAAAAGTAACAGAAATCAGTTCAGTATTGAAAAGTTTCTTGAGAAAAAGATTTTTAATGATTTTTCCTACATGTTCCTTTGTATAACTTTGATTCCCTGATCTGTGGTCCCTCCCTATCCCTCAAATAAGTTTCATAATTTCTGGTCCAGTGGATTTCTAAGAGATGCCATTAATTTTTCAGTAAATTTGCTTTGGAAGAACTTTCATTGAAACAAACTTGAATCCCCTTTATCCTAAGATGTTTTGTGATAAATTTGCTTGAAATTGGCTCAGTGGTTTATGAGGAGAAGATGAAAATGAGAAAAAAATTATGACAACAGACAATGGACAAATATTTATCCAAAAAGCTCACTTAACTCTTAAGCCTATGGCTCAGGTGAGCTAAAAGGTCTGGAATAATTAGAAATTTTCAAAGTCTAAAGGCTTTAAATTTTTTGAAAAATGGGTTGATAAAATATGAAACTGGTCATCAATATAGAGAGTCATACCAATATGAAATGATTTATATGATGGTGAAAAAAGGGTTATCTACTAGTCAGGGGCAAACATAATACTAGTACTAAGTTTTAACTCTATAGGACTTCAATATCATAAAGGGTAATTTACTTCCTAGAGGGTACCACCATGCCAACGCATCACAGTTAAGGCTACAAAAAGGAGGCGGGGCCTAATTTATACAGGAAATGTTAACTATGACATCACACAAATCTAACAATTCTTTCAAATGCAACAAAATGAAATGATTTGAAATTTTAAACTGTTAAAAAGGGAATTAAACTACATTAAAACTTACTATAACATGCTGTTTTGTAGTTAGTTAAATCCTGCATAGCAAGGTATAAATAAAGTGCCCCGCCACAGCATGATATGCCCGTCAAATATTGTTCAATTCTCATAAACAAAGATTTCCATGATTTTTCCATTCCTTATAATATTTGCTATTTATACATCTCCTGTTGTGTAGGCATTAATTATAACAAATATTACATCATAGATTTCTCAACTGGTTGTGTCAGAGCTTGACAAATGCCTATCTGCAACCCCCCCTCCTCATCTTTCATATTTGTTTGATATTTTCAAAAAATTAAATAAAAATATCACATTAAACAATATCAAATTAGTCTTAACAATTTAATCTATACCAAATTAATTTTGAAAATAAAAGGCTGGCCATCAAATGACATATGCTTTAAACTGACTTAAGTAGATCTTCGAATTCCCAAAGGATGCAGATAAGAACTGCTTGATCAGAGATGCTCTAACAGAAATAATTGAGACAGCTAGCTTTCCTACATTGAACTCATTAATTAATTATAATCTTTAAATGGATGTATGTCCACTCATTACTCCCAATGAATGGATCTGCACTATCTGCTTTGTAGTCTGTATTGCAGTAAAAATGCATATTTATGTCATTCTGTTGAAAACAGAGATTTTTTTAATTTGTTACAAAGATTTATAAAAAGAAACAAAAACTTGTGTAATCTTAATGCAACATTTGTAATAAGGTTACTGCATGACTCTTAGATTATAGGGACTATCTACCATAAAACATTTTTAAAAAAATACTTGATGATTTTTTGAGAAATAATGTCAAACTGGGTTTAAGCTGCAGAGCATATGGACAAATTGATATGCTTATTCCAATACCCCCCCCCCCCCGGTATAATTAGTTTTAATTATATTATACAATATCAAATAAGTTTATTTTACAGTATCAAATTAGTTTTAATTACTTTTCACCAAATTAATTTTAAAAGTTAGGCTAGCCAACAAAATCAATCAAACACGGCTGTTTCCTTTGCCCAATTCCCAAGAGATATTAACACCAGCTTGATCAGAGATGCTCTACCAGTTAGCTCATCACACTAAAACTCATTAATTTCTCTCTAATTTAACATGCAATTTTCTGTTATCAAAATTCTCCTTGACCAGTGCTTGATAATTACACCCATGGGAGAGGTGGAATTTCTCTTATAAACATTACATTTGTTATAGATTGCTGTAAAGTATATAATGAAAAAATAAGTATTTTCTTGATTTAACACATTTTAATAAGGATACTGCAACACTCTTACATTTCTGGGGATTGTGTAATTCAATAGTATAGAGACACAGTTTTTATTAAAATTTCACTTAAATTAAAGGTCCAACAGTGACCTTGAAATAGGTCGCGACACACCTTCTACCTAAGATGCATAAATTGGCCAAGTTTGATGATTCTAAGTCTAATAGTTTTCTAGTTATGAGCCGGACAGGATTTTTTCTCCATATTTGGCCATAGCATCTTAATTAAAGGTCAGAGCGACCTACTTTTAATGTGCGACACACCTTTTACCCAAGATGTACAGTATCAGCTGACAAAGTTTGATAATTCTATGCCTAATAGTATTAAAGTTATGAGCCAGACACGAAAAAGCTAACAGACGGACGGACGGACATGAACGCCATAACATAATACGTCCCGTCTTAAGACGGGTGTATAAAAAGTCACTAATCGCGATGCTCTTGTCCATGTGACATCATTTCGTAAAACGCAGTTTGTATGCAGCGAGAGGCAGATCATGTTACACTTTCACAACGAAAAATGTATTTCATAATATAAAATTTTATAATATAATATACAATATATTATTTGCAGATATTTAAGAGGCCATTCACTTGGATGCAATGTCTTTTTTATTCCTATATTTTCCTTACATTTCCTAGTTAACTGATACTGTCGTATATTTGTATGCAGGTACATAGAAGGGTAATGAAAGCTACTGGGTCTTAATGAATCGTTCTAGTGCAAGGGCGTACCTCAATCGATCATAGTAAGCATTTAAACATAAACTCTAGAGATACTAAGCTATTTGAAAAATGCTGTGATCCTGATGAATTCTTGAAAATGAATTATTTCTATATTTAATGTAGTTGACCAGCAAAAAATACAGCATGCATCCATGAAAATATTATTTTAACAATGAAATAGTATACCGGTAATCTGTATAGGATCGCAGCACTTTTCCACAAACAACAATAAGTGTTGAAAATATTTATAAACTAAACATTGAATATTAACTTGATGATGCACTACTGAAAGAGCCAGGTACATTAGTAGTGCAATTTGGCTCTTCTTTGAAAATTAAAAATAATCATATAGAAATGACTTGAGAATGTACACTTTATAAATTTATTAACAATTCTTATGTATTTTTTTTATAGTTTAGTTGCAATAACCCTCTGAAGATGGGATGTAACCGCTTTGAGCACTATGACGTCATTATTGCCGTCAATTTTGAATTATATTTAAAAAAAACCAACTTTTAAGTACCATTGTATTTTAAATGTAAAAGATGTTAGACTTTTTACGTACACTGCATTGTTTATTTACTTCAAAGAAAATATTGCACAAAAAGAAAGTTTTAATTGAAAGAATTTATGACCTCCATAGTGTCGATTCATCTGAATATCATATCTGCAGTCAAAATTGCTTGCTGAATGTGCAGTCCGTTTTTCTCCACAGTTTTTTTTTCAATTTTTCCCGGAACGTTAAATAAAAGACAGACAATGCAAAAAGATCATTGAAATTTAATTTTATTAACAAACAAAAACAGTAAAATATAACTTTTTTTAGCATTAATTTTGACCTATTTGCACTTAGGTTCAAATTATAGTATTAAAATACCAAAAATCGCCCTTTTCGAGATTAAAAACAACAATTGAAAACAATATTAAATTATTCATGCAAAATAGAACAATGGGAAGCCAAAAAATGGACAGGAATTATAAAAACAGAATTTAATGATATTACTAACAACTCAGGCACGAAGTATCGGGGGGGGGGGTCCCCCTATTTTTAAACATTACCTTTTACTATTGAGAATGTTCACTGAGTTCACTGAAAGGCTATTAGCCCCCCCCCCCCCCCCTCCCCCAATGTTTGTTGCAGCTTAGTCAAAATCAGAGTTATGTGGTAATGTATGAAAAAAATTGATTGTGGAAGAAGTTGAGAAGTCGTCCCCCACCAGATAGGACTTTCGAGTTTGATTCTGCCCCCTCCTTTTTTTTTTATTTAAATCGATACTATGTGCATGTCTGCAACTTAAGATATATCTAGTAAGGATCATTGACTTTAGAATCCTGAAATTCTAATTTACTCCAAGGTTTGTTTATAGTAAAAACATATTATAGGTTAGAGGCAGAGGCTCTACGTGACATGCCTTCATCATTGCCACCAGTATTTTCTTTTAATATACGATGACCTTTCAAATTGATCTTTGAATCTGGACCACTGACAAAGGTGTCAACTAACGAAGAATAAATTAAAATCATCTTCCTAACTTCATCAGTGATTTTCAACAATGAAAAAAATTAAATAATCTGACTTTGATTTATATAATAAATAAAAATACTAATCTGACTTTTGTATTTTGATTTTCATAACAAATAAAAACACCATTGTCCAAAGACTTTTTAAGAACCCTTGTATACAGCATTATTGACACAAATGACGCACCTTCTGGTCCAATCGACCTTCTTGGGCCTTTCCGACAAGCGGAGGGCCCGAGATGACGCAATTGATTTTATTTCTTCAAAATACGTATATTTGAATGTCAAAATTAGTTACATATTCATCATAGTTGAAATTGTTTGTGTACAGAAAAAAAGGTAACGGCATTTTAAATTAATTAACATGTACATGAAGTTTCCATTCTAATGGGTATCATTTTAGTCATTTCTTTATTCTCATCTTAAATTTTCTGAAGGAAAACTTTATAGGTAAATTTAATTTCCCCTTATTCTTTCTCCTTCAATTTACCCTAATTTTTTTCATTGTTTTTAGGAACATATATATAGCATATACTTATATACTCTACTGTTCTCAACTAAGTATCACTTCAGTTGTTTTTTGAAAAGACATAAATCATTATAAAAGGATTTCTAACTGATGTATAAAATGTATATGAATTTAATTCATTTAATTCACTTAAGGATTTTCATTTCCTACTTAAATTAAAATATACTAGGTATATATTCATGTACAAATAAAACTTTCGGAGAAAGAGTGGTTAGTGCTAAAATATTTTAAAAAATCACCTTTGCATTGAAAAATGTAAACTTTCCAGTACATGTATTTTTACAGACGTAAATTTGAGATATATTACATCTGAGCGCTGTTTTCTTTTAATGTGAAATTTCTTAATAAATAATTTGTTATAAATGTTTGATTAAACAACGGTATTGTTTATAGCGAAATATCAAACGAAATACTAAAATATGGAGAAAACTTTTGGCACGTCGCTGTACGTTAGTAGGATATCATAGGTCTCACACCACCTCATTTACAAACATATACATTGAATACATGTTTGTATACTTGAACCTGTGGCAAGATATATAGTTTATATTTAGTTGATGCCATACTGCTAACTATGGTGTTTTGGAATAAGTCTGTTCTTCATCAACAGTCTGAAAAAGAAAAAAAACTTTAGTTGATTAGTAAAACAAACTTTCAAAGATTTTGTGCATTTTCAATTTATGACTAATTTAGCCCTACTCTGGGTCTGAATGATGGATCCTGGGGCCCTGAATTTCACAAATATGGTAGAAAGTTGACTTCTCATAATTATAATCATGCAAAAAGCTTACCTACATGTACTAGATGTACATGACTTAAGAATGAGCTGTGATATAATTTTTCAACAAATGGCCAACTTAGCCCCAATGGGAGTCTGAAACCTGAACCCAAGGGCTATTAATTTCACAATTTTGGTGAAAGGCTCATTGATGAATTGCTATTAGTTTGCCTGCTGATGTCCAGGAGAAGATTTTTTTATGATTGCATTAAATTTGACAGTCATTCATTTCATAACTTTGGTGAAAGGCTCATTGATGAATTGTTATCAGTTTGCCTGCTGATGTCCAGGAGAAGATTTTTTTTATGATTGCATTAAATTTGACAGTTTTGGCCCCAATCTTCAGGCCAGGGAGGGGGTGGGGGGCAGGGACCATGAAATTCACAAGTTTTGTATCACATGAGCCATATATTCTATATCCAAAAATTGGCTGAAATTTGATCTGCCATTCCAGTATTTTCTATTGAGAAGTTGATGGCTTCTTATTTCTCCCACTTAAGGAGGAGTAATTACTAGCCGTCAACTTCTCAATAGAGCTCGTTATTTCTCCTATTTAAGAAGGAGTAATAACTAGCTGTCAACTTCTCAATAAAGCTCGTTATTTCGCCCATTTAAGGAGGAGTAATAACTAGCTGTCAACTTCTCAATAGAGCTGGTTATTTCTCCCATTTAAGGAGGAGTAATAACTAGCCGTCAACTTCTCAATAGAGCTCATTATTTCTCCCACTTAAGGAGGAGTAATAACTAGCCGTCAACGTCTCAATACAGCTTGTTATTTCTCCCATTTAAGGAGGAGTAATAACTACTGTAGATTCCTAAACATACATGAGGAATAATTTATCACGTAATTTCGCGAAATTTAATTACTCGTTTTTATTTTTATGGTGCTTTAATGTATCACTCATTCACGTATTATTGTTCTCGCGATTTGACACCCTTGGGCCATTTCATGATATTAAGTACTCGCATAAAATAAGGAATCTACAATAGCCGCCAACTTCTCAATAGAGCTTGTTATTTCTCCCACTTAAGGAGGAGTAATAACTAGTCATCAACTTCTCAATAGATCTCGTTATTTCTCCCACTTCAGGAGTAATAACTAGTCATCAACTTCTCAATAGATCTCGTTATTTCTCCCACTTCAGGAGGAGTAATAACTAGTCATCAACTTCTCAATAGATCTCGTTATTTCTCCCACTTCAGGAGGAGTAATAACTAGTCATCAACTTCTCAATAGATCTCGTTATTTCTCCCACTTCAGGAGGAGTAATAACTAGTCCTCAACTTCTCAATAGATCTCGTTATTTCTCCCACTTCAGGAGGAGTAATAACTAGTCCTCAACTTCTCAATAGATCTCGTTATTTCTCCCACTTCAGGAGGAGTAATAACTAGTCCTCAACTTTTCAACAGAGAATACCATTCCACTGAAGAAGCTGAAAATGTTCAGAAGTTTACAACTGATACACAACAGTTAATGCAAAATGCACGACATACAAAAACAGATGACAAGAGTTAATATTTGGACAAAAAATATGCAACAACTGTTAGTTGGCACTCTATAGTCTTCCAAATACTTTCAGGTGATAGGTGAACTACTGTGAAATCACTAATTTTTAAGGGGGGGGGGGGTAATTTTCTATGTTTTTGAGGTATGAAAAGACCAATGAATTAATGTCAACCACAAAATGTAAAAATGTCAGATACATATAGCTATTCTGACAACAATTCTTCATCCATGAAGTTAAATCCCCACAAACCCATTTTTTTTCCTTAAACCATGAAAATTTGACCCCAAGAAAATATGTGATTTAACAGTAAATTCATTCATTTTATTACCTTCAAGGTGCCCTTTTCATCTCTTCTTAAAGGTGACACTATTGCTACAATTACAGAAAATAAATCAGATACATAAGTTATTCTACAAAAACATGACCAATTAAGAATTTTTTAAGTTGCTTACAAATTTACTGTTGTAATATCTAAACTTTTTTAAAGATCAATTTCAACTCTAAGACTTAACATACACACATGGTTTTGTAAATATTTACCGATATATATGCAGTTACAGTTTTGATATGAACATTATGTAATGTAAAAAACATATTCCACTGCAAATCTTAACATATTCCACTGCAAATCTTAATGTTGCTTCATTTATTTACACATTTCAAGATGAAATTTTCAGCCATAAATGAAAGCATTCTGAATAGTTGCAATGAATGTTAAAAAAAGTTTTTATCCTATATAAAAAGAAATTAAACCACTTCTCGCAAAGAAATGCATGGATCTTCTTTCATGTGAAATTATAGCATGTTGCTAAAAATGGATTAACTTCTGTAACAATTTTGTTTTAAACTTCACGCACAGAAAGCAGATTTCAAAAAGAATTGAAACTTATCTGAAAGTGACCACAGAACCTAATATTATCGATTCTAGTTGCCAGTCATCTATTTTAGACGATTACGTTTTGGACATAACATATTAAATTGGACTAAAAAAAAGTTGTCTCTCTTTAAAAATTTAACTTCCATAACGGTATTTCTGGAGACTTTTTGCTTTAAAGGTATAAAGATTTTTATTATTTTGGGAGCGAAATGCTTCATACTTTTGTTTAATATCCTAAAAAAAAACTTTAGTTTTAACTATTGTCGAAAATTTTAACTTTTATTGCTGGGAATTAACTTCTATAACGATTAACATCCGTAATGATATTTTTTCCGAAATTTTAACTTAATTTCGGAGTCATGCAAGACTTAGACTTCATGAATCGTACTTTAGCATTCTATACTGAACATCAGAAATGAAAAATTGGACCAATTCTGCTTTATTTAAAAAAATAATAAGACTTGTTCAAGCATTAACTTCTGTAGCAATACCTTAAGATCAATGGTATATTAAAATTGTTGTAAAAAGTTAACGATTACCAGATTTGTGGACAATTCTTTTTTTTTTTCAAGTTTACTGATATGTCCTTAAGAAGCTCTAAACACTAATGAAAAAAAGGTTTTTTTTGACTTTGAGAAAATTGTATCTTATAAAGGCATAGTGAGTTTATCTAGTTCGTTTTCAACATAAGTACCTGCCATATTTCTCCAGGAAAATTCTTTAAAGACAATGAAGGACGAGTGAACAGAAATCAATGTTGTATACTTACACTGGGAAAATGCATGCAAATAATGTTTTTGATTACATTATCTTGATCTAATATAATTAATGTTAAGAATACAATAATCTACATCAAATTGTGTTATTTACTTTAGGTTTCCACTTATTCCTTTGTTCTTCAAAGGGCAGATCACTCTAACTGAATAAACCTACAAGGTAATTGGAACTCTTTGGTGAGCGGTGTTTAGAGCTTCCTTAAAAGAAAATATGATGTTCATTTTGCTATTTGAAACAATTATTTTTTTCATGTTTTATACCCTGAATTGGTCCATTTATCATAGAATGACTGATGTCATTTTTAGCTCACCTCAACAAAGTTTGGGGGGGGGGGGACTAATGTAATACCCTAGGTGTAGGTGTCCCAGGTTAAAAGTTTTTAGAGTGGATTTCTTTTCAAGTACATGTACTTCTTTCCCCTATATTAATCAGAGATGCATGGACAATGCTTCTAGTATGTTTCATTGTCCCAATCAAGGTTTCAGATGCTGCAATTTCAGCTAAAGAATGATCAGGTTAATGTTTTGGAGCAGGTTAAAGTTTTTGGAGCAGGTCTCATTTCCAAAGTTACTATATGCCCTATATTGATGAAATATATATGGATAATACATCTAAGAAGTACACTATTGGACTGGCTTCAGATGCATGATTTGTCCTACCTTTTCCTGATGAGTGATCAGATTAAAGTTTTTGGAGCAGTTCATTCTAAAGTAAGTATAAGCTTTATGCTAACTAATTTTGCTTTGAAGATATTTAGTGATGCACACTACCAGAGTTGCTTTAGATGCAGGATTTGACCTACATTTTTCACATGAGTGACCAGGTTAAAGTTTTTGGAGCAGGTCCATTCCAAGAAACCTGCACAGATGATGCATCAAGGGATGCACATTACCAGAGTTGCTTCAGATGATGGATTTGACCTCCATCTTCCAAATAAGTAACAAGGTAAAGTTTTAGGAGCAGACTCATTCCAGTGTAATTTCAAACCTTTACCAAATCTGCATGGATGATGCATCAAGGGATTTCAAACCTTTACCAAATCTGCATGGATGATGCATCAAGGGATGAAAACTCTCAAATTTGCTTCAGATGCTTTATTTGACAAACATTTTCTGGATGAGTGACTTGTTAAAAGTTTTTAGAACAAGTCCGTTACAAATACACTGCAAGCCCTATCAGACCAAAATTGCATAAATGTTGCATTAGGGATGCACACTACTAGATTATTAGTTTAGTGTAGAACATTGCCTTACTCAAAGATAACATTCGTTGAAGTGAGCTCTGTAATCTTTGATTACCTATGTTTTTGTCACAAATATGCCCCTCTCCCTAACTTTTTCATATACTAGAGTGTATTTATCATGTGTATTAATGTAAAGAAGCCTAGTACAACACATCATTATTATATGTACAGTCTGTATGTAATAATTTTCCTTGTTGTCAGTTGATGTCTTTTAGTAAATTAACCTACAGTCTTTGCAATGAAAATTGGAAGCCCTTTTTTAACATAAATAACTGGTCTTTACCAACAACTTTTGGATTGTTTGGGTTCTGTTGACTTTCTTTCTGAGGTGGAACCACTGCCATGTTTGGCTGGCCTGGTTTGAGATTTTCCTCGTTACTTTGTAATGAGGACAAATGCAAGTTTGTGTATTTTCCTGATGACCCTAATGAATCTGAAGTGCTGGAATCATTTTTGGTTGAAGATCCTGGAAAGAAGGAAGTTGTTAACATAAATATTTCCCAAGGTTCAATTCAAAACAGCTTTTTCTGATGCAGAAAATGTTACCAGGTATCTACTAGCATTTACCATTAAATTTTCTATTGAGTATTACAATCACGCTAAAGTAACAGTTTAAAAAACCAAAAAGGATGCATAAATTCTTTGTTAAAAGAAAAATAAATAATGATGAAATGTTACATAAGTTAAAAATATGTCCATATGACATAAATGCACCACCCAAGGTTCATTAGTAATGCAACATGAAAATTTGAAAAAGTGTATGATGTTTGAAGAAAATATCTTGAATAGTTTCTTTAAAACTGTGTTTTATACACGATAAGTAGTAAAATCAAAGGTCATTGGAAAGGTCAACTTAAAAAAAAAGATAGGACACAGTTGATCAATTCTTAACAAACAATGTATTCATGCATAAACTTACTTAAAAATATTTAGAATAGTTTCTTTGAAACTGACCAAAAAAAAAATACTTTGAAAAAAATTGAGGTCAAGGTTAAAGGAAAGGTCAAGGTAAATAAAAATTGATGAATTTCAATAGCTATCCTCAATATGTATCACCATATGGAGTCAGATAGCTAAACGAAAACAAAAAATTAAGAAAAGTGAGGTCAAGGTAAAAGGAAAGGTCAAGGTAAAGGGATTGATGCAGTTGAATAGCTTTCATCAATATGTATCAGGCATAAGTTTGATTTACAAAAATATCTTGAGTGGTTTCTTTAAAACTTTGCACAAGAAAAGTGAAGTCAAGGTCAAAGGAAAGGTCTAGGTTAAAAAAAATACATATTGATAGAGTTGAAAATTTTTCATCAGTATGCATTAGCATGTAAGGTTTGATAAAAATATCTTGAATGATTTCTTTAAAACTAAGCTAAACACTCATTTAAGAAAAGTAAGGTCAAGGTCAAAGTAAAAAATGGTGATGCAGTTGAATAGCTCTTATCAATATGTATCAGCATATATGTTTGATAAATATATCTTGAATAGTTTCTTTGAAACTGAGCTAGGTGCAAAGTATGACGGAAGGACAGACGGAAGGATGGACTTGACAAACACTATATGCCCCAGCCATAGTCATGGCGGGCCATAAAATTTTTGATAATAACCTGTGCCATAGTCACTGTCTGCTGGAACTCTATATTCTTCACCAAGTGAACTAAGAGACAATGGGGTGTAGTTTTCATCAGTCATTAGAGAGCCATAAGAATTTGGTGGCTGAGGGTCACTAGTAAAGATCAAAGGTGAAAAGTCTGGAGCTAGGAAAATATCTGAAGAATTCTCCATCTGGACTATATCATGATGTCTTGAACAGGGCTCTGTCTTTTTTACTATATTAATTGGATCACTCTTCTGCTTTTCAACCCTTATCTTTTCAATTTTTGGAGATTCATGCTCACAAACTTTAATGTCGTGTGCTTTTACTGCAGTGTTCAAATCAGCAGTATTATGTGATTCTTCATTCTCTGCACAACTTTGTTGAAATACCTCACTACAGTGAATTTTGTCTTGACCAGTCATTGTCACACTAAGAGGATCTTCACTGCTGAGAGATACTGCAGCTTTATGATTACAGCAGTTGGATAGTTCCTCTTTCAACTCGGATCCATTTGGTTCCTGACAACTTTCTTTCATATCTTTTTCATTGATGTGGACTGTTTCATCAATTACACTTAACAAAGGATCTCTTTCTGACATTTTGATTGTTTCTTCATCACCTGTTGTATTGCTAATATCTGGACTACTGGCTGCTGATCTATCAACTTTCTTTAGTTCTATGTCGGTGAAATTGAAAAAAAAAAAATTAAAAATTCATTGCAAGTTAAAACTTTATATTTTCCCCCCCAAAATGTGCCTTAATTAATATTACAGGACAGTTATCTTTAACAGTCACTTAAGCAGTATGCAAAACATTTACAGTAATTTTCTGTATTAAAATTAGATCCTAGAGTACACATTTATTCATGAGTTTAGGAAAGGTATAAGTACCACCAAAGGGAAACATTTTAGCTGTCTCATATGAGGCTTGCTGAGACCTAGAAGGCAATATGATCTCAAAGGTGGAACTTACATTAATCTATCATAAAACAAACATTTAAAGATAATTATTTTTATCACATTTTATCTTTATACAATGGATATCATTCATATGATATCATTTTCATATCAACAGTTAATGTCACAATTGTTTTTGCCTTAAAATGATGAAGTCAAATAAAGTGGATTATATATATAAACAGAGTAAAACATGCGATAGCTATGTAAAATGTTTGATGAAAAGAATCTCCCATGGTTTGTGGTTGGATATAATTTTTATCCAACTTGTGTGTTTTCTATCCCCTTGCCTAGGAACAATCTTGGATAAAATCATATCCAACCAAAAACCATGGAAGATGCTTCATTTCTCTCACTATTTGATACATTTTTTCCCCAAAACCAACTGTATTCAAAATGTCAATACCTGGGTTAGGTTTTAATTGCTCAAGTTTTCTTTTACTGCAGCAGCATATACACACAAGTACAAGTACTACAATTAATAATCCAAATCTGAAACATTTTTAGATTTGTCAATTGAAAAAGAAAGAAAAGCATATATATCTGTCCAATTTCCCAGATAATTTTTAACCTAAATAGTCTGTAATTGACATTTCTGTGTCTTGGGATATTAAAAATTCCCGTTTTTAATATCCTCATTTTATTTACATGTATTTATTTTTTTAACTCTCACCAACTATATTAATAAAGAGTAAGCAACTCTGACAGAGAAAAAAATGCCCTTGTACACATAGCACAATTAATGTTGAACATTTCCTATTGAAAATAATTTGAGTTGGTTATTGGTAATTCTTGCTAAAAAAAAAAAAAGGCCTAAAATGTGGTTTGCTTTTGAAATGAAATATGGTTTCACTTACCCTAAAATCAAACCTAGAGCAGGTACTGAGATTGAATCTGTACTACCTGCATAAAAAAATACAAATGTGAGCTGCATTCTAAAAAATATTTAAATTACTACATCTTAATGTACATAGTGATGTATGAACATCTACAATATTATGATATTCCTATGGCTTGTAAAGTTTCTATATCTAACCCTCTTCTGGTTCCTTATTTACAGGATCTGGATCAGGTGTAGATCTTTCATCTCCAATAAAAATATTTGGATTCATTATAGCACTTTTCACTACAAGTTTTGATGTTGTAAGCATAACAGCAGTTTTTGAGGTAGTTATTAGTTGCAGTGTAGAGTTAACTAGCACTTTTGTGGTGACTGCTAACTTGGTGGTATCTGGTTGTGCGGTGGTGTCTGGTTGTCTGGTGGTGGTGATTCTCTGACACTCTCTATCCTGAGTTGTAGACCCATTAAAAACTGACAAGAAGCCATCCAGGCATCTGTTGATCAATTTCATTTGTTTTAAATGCACATATTCTGGTACATGAAATCACTTATAAAAAGTTTTTGTAATATATGTTTGTGTACATATCATTTGTTTTCTACACATATGATCTATCTAATAATTGTTATGAACTTTTGATGAACACATACCACATATAAAGGATCTTGGACAAGCATGCACAAATACTGGTAGATACTGATATATTTGCATACTTTTAATTTGATATAAATTGTACCATGTCCAAATGAAGTGTATATCAAAGTAGAATAATGACTAATTTATACATGCCCTTAATTAAAAACTTTGAAGATCTGATTAGGAAGCTAAGCATATGAGATGCTTCTAATTTTTTAAATATACATGCATGTAGGTATAATGTATATATTTTTTTCAGATACATGTATACCATGATATAAGTGCTATGCAATTGTTTATTGTAAATACATGATACAAAATTAACTGATAGAGTAAGAACTTACTTTGTATGAGGAATACATATAGAATTGTCACTTTTGTTCTTGAAGAATCCCACTTCACACTTGTCAACTTCTCCTGAAAGATTTGGATTACAATGAAATAACTCTGGAAGTCCTGTCTGTTACATATTACATCATTCAAAATACTTAAATCTACCTATTTATTTTACCTGTGATCTTTAATTCAAATCCTGGTTGTCTGATCTTTTCCACTTTGATCTCATCATTTATTGGTCCTTGACATGCGCCAGGGTCATTGCCATAGTAACCGTCCCACCTCCTACAGACACAGATCTTGTTGCCAGTTTTTTCACATTCTTCTCTATTTTGAAGTTCTGCTTCTACAACACAAAAGTAAAATAAAAACTGTGAAACTGGAAAAGGCAATGCTATGAGCATCATCTTTTGTGATCAAATCAGAGGCAAAAGAATCAAAATTTCACTCTCAAATGTTCTTTAAAATATCTCAAAGCAATAATAATCCTTCAGATTGATCAAGTGTAAAATATGATTAGTGACTCCCCGTGGTAGGATGGGGCCACAATAGGGAATCAAAGTTTTACATGGGAAAACACCAGAAAAATCTTTTTAATAATTTATGTCTCAGGAACAACAAGGTGATGATTAGTCATATTTCAATAATATTAAAGCATCCTCAGGTAGTGTAGATTCAAGTTTATTCAAATCATGCCCCCTGGGAGTAGGATCTCTCTAAAAAATCTTGTTGTAAAGCAAGGCCATGTTAGTAATACTGATATTGAAGCATCCTCATGATGTGTGGATTTGTTTTGGTTATGTCTTGACAGCACTGGGCTAGGGTGTGCCTACTATATGGAGTAAAATTTTTCAAAAATCAGATAAAAAAACCCAGCAGGGTCAAGGTGACTATAATTTTCCACTGTACAAAGCCAGTCTTAAAATTTTCTATGTTTCCACTTACCAGGAAGACAATTGCAGTCGATTTTGGTACAAAATTCAAATTCAAATCTGATTGTTGCTGTATTTACTGGTTGTTCACGATTAATTGTTCCGGGTGGACAGTCGTAACAAGTATCATATCCCAGAGAATCAATGTTAGAACACAGTCTGTAGCCTTGGTCTGAAAGCCAACACAGAAGTAATTTTATAGAATCTTAAGCTGCAAAATCAGAAGTCAATATTTAAAGTAAATATTGAAAATAAATAATGAATTGCTTACTTTCCAAACACTGTATTGGTTTGCAGCAAGTTTGATCAAATCCTAGTATGAAGTTTTTTTCAGTTGGGCAGGAAAATGCATCAGTATGAACCATGACGTATACTATATTTACTAATAACTTCTAAATAAAACAAAAACATATTTCAATAAAGGTTACAAAAAAAAAAAAGAAATTAAGTTTTATTAATTTGTTGAAGAGGAAAAGGTTTTATTTACACAACAAAACTTCCTTTATCAAGATATTCATATACTATAATTATATGTCTGCATGTTTACTTCTTTGTTTTGGTATTTGTTTGTTTGTTTGATTTGTTTGTTTGTTTGTTTGTTTTTTGAGTAATAATTTTTTAGTTATGATTAGGAAGTCTATAATGATGGCAAGTTGTTTTAAAATTCAGCAAGTAGACCTTCTGTACAATCCCTACACAACTTACCACAAGATTAGCATCTATTGATTGCATTCTTAAATTTCAACAAATCCTCTCTCCACAGACTGCACCCCCTCATCATCTGTTCCAAGTTACTTGGAATATTATTTGGGCTAAAACTATCATGTTTTAATCATATAAATGGATCATTTTCTTCACTGCAATTGGCTGATTTCCCACTATCTGGAAAAAAATATATCACTGTGACAATGTCAGGCGAACACTTGCTCAGAATACATTATACCTGAGATTTCATTAATCTGGTTTAATCATTTATATAAAATATGATATTATAATAATATATTTACATCCACTGAATGTTTTCTCCTTTATTTTTCATGAAAACTCTATTTCAATAAAAAAAGTTCAAGGGTCATAAGATCGGTATTCATGGTATTTTATATGGGGTGTGACAGACGGACAGACAGACAGATGTCACTCTGCTCTGCAGGTGACACAATAAAAGGTTGTAAGACCTAAGAAGGAAAAGGAGGATTGTCTGACCTTGACCTTTCTCATTTTGACCTTAATATCAAAAGATCTTTCTCTGGTTTGAGAGGTCCATCACCTGAAGTTTCATTGTAAAACCTCAGAGTTAAAATTATTATCTAAAAACCTATTTATTAGGACTGCGCAACAATATCGATATTTAGGTGTATTGCGCTTCATTGACAAAAAATATTGTATTGTGATATGTTTTTCAGTGCTGATCTATATACTGGCAAAGTGCCTTGGCTTGGGATTTCTGAAAATATAAAATTTAAGATGTCAGAAACATATATTCAATTATGCCAAACAGTAATTATAAGGTTGCTGTTGTATGGTTGCATTTTAATGCAAATCAACAAGAACTTTTTTGTTACAACATATTTGTCATATTTGTCATATTTATATACATTCTGCTTATAAATGGAGATAAATAAATTAAGAAAAGATCATTTTTACTGTTATTGAAAAATGAAATATTGCAATAGTACAGTTAAAAATATTGCAGTACCATATATAACAACACGAAATCCCCAGCTACATGTAATACCCAGCCCTACAATTTATGCAATACATGTATATATAAATTTCTGACCTTGACCTTACATATTATTACCTCAAAATCAAAAGATGTCTTCTCTCAGTCATAGGGAGTTATAAAACTTCATGGTATAAATTTGCAGCCCTCCACCGGCAGGTGGTGGTGGCATCTCCATATAAGTGAAAAATTCTCAAGAGGGACATTAAACAATTGAACATACAAGCAAGCAAATACAAACAAGCAAAAGCTCAAGAGAAATAAGACCATCATGAATAGAAACCACTTTATGCAATATCTGAATTTCTTACCTTTTGATCTCAAAATCAGAATAGATTTTGTTCATGTGAGAGGAGGTTACATAAAATTTCATTTCAAAACTTCAAAGAGAACTAAATGTATAATACGAAATCCATTTTATGCAATGTATGAATTTCTGACCTTGGACTTTGATCTCAAAATTCATTAGTCATAGGAATTCATATAAAAATTTATTGCATAAACTCAAAAAGAACCAAAATTATCTTCTGGAAACATTTTATTTGGCATAGTTATGAATTTTTTTACCTTTTCCTTAGATCTTTTGACCTCAAAATCAAAATCAATCTTTTTTAGGTCATAGGAAATTTCAATACAAAAGCTCAAAGAGAAGTACAGTTATCATTAACTAACTATGACTGCAATAGAATCTGACAATCAAAAGAAAATATGATTCCATAACCCTCAAATGAATAATTAAATTGAAATTACAAGAAATAATTATTTGTCATTTTATTAATATATGTTTTCAACAATCCTTCAAAAGTTGAATACCGATCCTGATGTATTTTTATGGTATTTAAATATAAATTTGAGTGGTAACTGAATATCATACAGTTTCAAAGTACTTTTTCATGAGCTAAACGTGTTTCCTGAATAATCATTCAAAAGAGATTTCAGTCAGTCTTTACAGAAATTCTCGGTCTACATGATCCATTGTGGAATACTGATCCCAATGTATTTTCATAGCATTTAAAAATGTAAGTTTGTCTGGATATCATACAGTTTCTAAGTACACTATCATGAGCTCATAAACATGTATAAATGTTAATTATCTAAAGCCTGCCTCTCAAAATTCATAAGTCATAAGTTTAATTAAACAGCCCGAGATATTTTTTGCAAAGTAGGTCAAAGGTCAAGTGGATTGTAATGCTGGTATTTTTCATATTATTGTCTTATGACAAACAGTGCACATGTTAAATAGCATAGACTTACCTCTTAAATGTCAAAAATATGCTGTATATCAGCACTATGAGCTATTTTGAAAAGTAGGTCAAAAGTCAATGTCAAAGGTCACAAGGTCTGTAACCATGGTGATTTACAAAATCCATTCTGCCAAGCAATGTATGTGCAAAATATGAAATATATACCTCTTACAGGTCTTAAGATATAGGGTGTGACAGATGGACAGACAGATGGATGGACAGGCGGACATCGGACAAAATGTGATCAGAAAATCTCACTTGAGCCTTTGGCTCAGGTGAGCTAATCATATAAATAATAAATACACAGAAATAGCATAGTAAAAAGATTCACACCAGAAGGTATAAAAAAGTATTGTTTCTTCAATGAGACTTAATTGTCATCATATGTAATATTTCCCAGTATTTTCATGAAAATCAGTCTCTCCTGTCCTTTGATTTTAGAATTTTCAGTATAGAGTCAACATTTTGCATGGCTTATATTAATTATTGTTATATCAACAGAAGGATATACTCTGACTTAAAGTTCATTATATATGAAATGATTTTCATAAGCTGATATACTCTTCATTATGAGTTTATAATAATTTTTCCTGCAATTATCAATCGTGAAAATGATGCCTTAAGTTTTTATTTAAAGGTCACCACCACCTATAACCAAGTTTGTAAGCCAGTAGTCACTTTTTATGCTAATAATTAGTTTACATGCAAGGTTTCTGTTGGTTAAAGGTGATTATGACATGTTTAGAAGTCACCTAGCTAATAAACCGACCCTCTTGATCTAGTTTTCCCATTACTCTAATGCTAATACAGACCAATAGTACATCACTTTGTGAGACAATTCTCATAACAAATATTTAAGCATCATAACCCAATCAACATTTATCATTAACCTGGAGCATTAGCCAAATGATTTATGCAGGGGGGTTTTATGACAGATGGACAGATAGACCCTAATTAGTACCCCCACTTTTAGTAAAATTAAGTATAGTATATAGAGTTCAGTAATTCCAGATTCCAATTCCTGTCTGTTTTCTCCCTGCCTGTTACATATGATGCTGTGATCATGCCCTGGAATTGATAGGGATTGAAAAAGACTTGTGCAAGGGAAGAGCCTACTGGTTCAGGTGTCTTTGGGGGCTAATTAAGACACTTAGGGACTGTGAGAAATATGGTAGTCAGGCTGGTTTGTTTGCCAGTGGCCAAGTATTTAGTTTATGAAATGGACCCTTAGATTTATAAAAGGAAGGATAAAAAAAATCACAGTACTACTACCCCCCCCTCCCCCCCCCCCACACACACACACATACAGTGACACACACAATTACCACAACCTTCAGCTCCTCAAGCATGATTTTTTTATTACACAAAACTTCAGCAGAATAAAATGTGTAATAGTATTTTTACTGAAATGTCAATACCCGGTTCGGTTTATTTATTTACCATATGGGGAAAACCGAATAATAGCGAATACTTTCGTTTTTACAGCATACGCTAAATTTTGCTGCGTTCAGAGATGATATTCTAACTTATAAAACTACATGTACCTTTTGTATTAAAACTATAATCAGAATCACATAAATATACAAACCACCATCAATTTGATGCGTATAAACCACAAAGATGCTGTACCTACTTTCGGTTTGATAGTGTACCGGAAATTACAAAGAAGGCCTTTGAGGTATGCCGCATGGAATTCCATATACGACAGCTGATTGCTTACTGCCAACTGCTCACTCTGCCACTGTTCATAGATGAAATTTTCTGTTTTGTTATCTTTAATAACATTAATACGCATACATGTACTTGAATAAATCCTATGATAGCAAGAATAGCCCCTGTGATAATAATGACAAAATTTGGCGGATTCAGGAATTTTTTTAAACGGTGAAGGCGAGGAAGAAATAAATAGGAGGAAGGAGTATAAATTTCTTCTTAAATGCGAAACATTTAATTTCCACATTTCCTTGCAAGGAATGCATATAATTCAATATTTGCATGAATTTCGATATTTGCACGATCCACCATAATGTTTTCAATATCTTTTTCTGATACATAAAAGAATGTAGACGAGTACCATGAAACATGTAAAATGAATGTTCTCTACTGACACAATCATGCACTTTTTAGATGGTGAATATGGTTTGTTATTACCAGAAACTACTCGATAAACATTGGTGTGTTTTTTGTGTTTCTTTCGTTAGCCAGCATATTATGCATGTACAGATTGATTTAAAGTACAACTGCCCCTTTGCTAAATGTACTTTTGTCATAATATGCAAGATCTGACAGTTCACACGCAAGTACTTTGAAACTAATATTAAGAAATTGCACTGAGTTCCTTATTGACAACTGAATATAAAAACCAGGTCTTCGAACAATCCGGCGGAGTTCCTGGGTACTAATTTTGGACATTTCTTAGCAGACCCGTTATATATTCTTACGAAGCACATTCTACTTGAGAATCTGTTTTATATTCTTATGAAACACATTCTACATGAGAAGCTGTGACCTTCGATTCGAGATTTAGATAAATCAAGGACGTTTTATTAATTATTAACAATATAATTATTTTCATTCTAATGTCCACTCGATATATCCAGGTAAACTGGAAATAAAAGACATCGTACAGAGTCTGCCATATATTTGGATGTTTTACTGACTATAGATGTCAGTGGCCAAATAACAACTACACTATACGACAAGTGAGATGACCAGCTTTCCCATCGTCAACTTCCCTTATTTATTGTAGAAATGTTTCTTTATCACGTATATTTGGAAGTTTATGTCTCCCAACATATTCGGTACGCGAGAGGATGCAAGCTACTGACAAATAAGTTGATTTACAAAGCTTACAATTATCTCGCTTAAAATCAGCATTTTCGCAAATTTTGTTGTCATTTTAATGACCTCGTTTGCAATTCCAACTTATTGTTGGGTCTCATTTTGACTGACATGTTTCATACCAATTGATAGGCCATTGTTTTTATTCTAATTATGTGTACGGATTACTCCGTTCACTTGATCAATACAGATGGCAGGTGTGTCCGATTGCCAGGGGATGCTTACTACATTGTGTACTTTAAGGCACGGTCCCACCTCTGGTGTTTCTAGGTTGTTCTTTGATTTTTGTTTGTTTGTTTGTTTGTTTTTTATTTGTTCTATGTGTGTCCTCTACACAATTCGTACTATTTAAAGGATTGATTAGATAGCTTATCTTCACTTTTTCATTCTTAAAACCCCCAGATTTTCCAAAATTAAATTTAGACCATAAGAGGAAGTAAAGATATATTTTCCTTTTAACCAAGAAAGGACTCATGTATTTTTATTGTCACTGTCGAGAACAAGAGGGTGAGTTTTATTGTTAGCTTATAGGGTGTTGTTCTTTCGTTGTATTGTTAGCTTATAGGGTGTTGTTCTTTCGTTGTATTGTTGTTCGTGCTGTGTTTTATTGCTTTCATTTAGTTTGTTGTTTATTGATCAGAAATATCCTTGTGGAATTTGTAGGTCTTTATCTCAGTTCATCCTCTTGTTATTACGAAGATAATTATTAACAAGCGAATTAAAAATATAAAAGTTTTATACAGTATGTAGATCACGTAACTCGCAGGAGTCTGTAGACATCGAAAAATAATAGAAGGTGACCCCTTTGAAATCCAAGATGGCTACCATTGCAAACATTAGATCATGTGATAAAATTGAAGCTTTTTTGAAACATTTAAAACATTTGAATCTACAAAGGTCGGTTGCCCTGTGTCTTAATCTTACAGGAAATGACAGAAATTGACATGAAGGTTAACTTTTGGATAACAATAACGAATAAACTTGATTTTTTTAAGAAGAAAAATTTCAACAAACAATAAAAAGGCAGTAATTTTTTTTGTAACTGCAATGGATAAAAATTTTAAGTACAAGTGGATTTTAGGCTTTAAAAGGAAGGAATTTCTCCCTCTCTCTCTCTTTATAAGCGGAGGACATAAACTCCATGAGTTACAAGTAGGGATGGCAACGAATATTCGAACATTCGAATATTCATTCGATGAGTTGATATTCGAATATGAATTTAGGATTCGAATATTCGGTGTTTTTCAGATTTCATAAAAAGAAGTACTGTGATTAATAAATTTTGATTAGAACAGTGCTGTAATTATCCCTGTTTAATTTACTAGAGATCAATTTCGATCGCCTGGCCCCAAGACCATAAACTGAGAATAGGCTTAAGACAAAATTTATATTTTGAATATCTCGGTTTTTATTCAACAAACATGATTGAAAACTTGCAGGTTTGTGTAATATCATAATTCACACATATGATGAAAAGTTTGCTCTGTTCTTTTATTAGTCCCCTACCGGTGAAACCGGAGGGGACTATAGGTTTCCTCTGAGTCTGTCCGTCCGTCTGTCCGTCCGTCTGTCTGTCTGTCCGTCTGTCTGTCTGTCCCTCTGTCTGTCTGTCAGTCTGTCCCACTTGGTTTTCCGCACTTTTCTCCTAAACGCTTGCAGATTTTTGGTATGTGAGTGTATCTTGATGAGTTACAGATCAAGTTTGCATTTCGTTCCGCTTCATTGATTTTTGACGGAATTACGGTCTTTTCAATTTTTAGGGGTTTTCCGCAATTTTCTTCTAAGCGCTTTCAGATATTGAGCTGATTTTTGGTATGTGGCTTTACGTATACCTTGATTAGTTATAGATCAAGTTTGCATTTCGTCCCGCTTCATTAATTTTTGACGGAATTATGGCATTTTCAATTCTTAACAGGAACCAGATTACACTTGCCGGTAGGGGACTAGTATTGCTAATGCAATACTCTCAGAATGCTTGTTAATATTGTAAAGGGCTTAATTTTAGAATAGATGTGTAAATTACTTGATTATCTCGGGTTGTAGATAATCCTGAATTTTATATTCATTATCGGGATATTAGTTAATTACCTAGGAAAATTGTCTATGGAAATATTTGTTTACATTGTATCAAAGATTATAATCTACGAAAGCCTATTAGGATCAAACTACGGTAAAAAAAAATTTAAAAGGCGTTAAAACGCCTTTTTAAAAGGCGTTATAACGCGGAAAAAGGCGTTATTACGCCTTCCCAAAAGGCGTTATTACGCCTTTCTAAAAGGCGTTATAACGCCTTTCTAAAAGGCGTTATTACGCCTTTCCAAAAGGCGTTATTACGCCTTTCTAAAAGGCGTTATTACGCCTTTCTTAAAGGCGTTGTTACGCCTTTCTTAAAGGCGTTATTACGCCTTTCCAAAAGGCGTTATTACGCCTTTTCAAAAGGCGTTATTACGCCTTTTTAAAAGGCATTAATAAGACTTTCAAAACTTTTGAAGGGCCATTATTATGTCTTTGACAGGCCCGTGCTTTTAAAGAGGGGGGGGGGGGTTCCCATAAAATTGACAAGCAAACAAAAAAACAAGACCCCCCCCCCCCCCCGAAAAAAATAAACTGCCTAAACTTGAGTTGAAACATTTTCTAATTTTTCGGTAAAACTTTTTTTAAATGCAATGACTTGCCCGAGTTTAACCATACTACAACAAAATGTTAAGGGACCAAGCAATCAATTAATGATTTTTTTATATTTAAACTATAGCAAGACTATTCTCCCAAAAAGTGGGGTGGGGGACCCCCCCCCCCCCACTCACATTCGTACTACCGGCCTGTTTGAAAAGGAGTTGTATCCAAAAATGGAAAGGCGTTATTTTAATATAGTAAATATATGAAAGATTGAACCAAAGCCATCTTTATTTATGCAATATTTAGATTATAGTTTTAATATTATAAATTATATTATAAATTATAGTATTTTCTATATTCCTGCACATCTCGCAGACAGTTGTTTGCATTTTGCATGCATATTAAGAGAAGTCAACACTCTACTTTTGAAAATCCAGGATATAGGCAGAACCAGCTTTGGGCTTTGCTAGCCACGTATTAAAAATTCATGTCAAATTTGAAATATTTTTCTCTCCTCTAGGTAAAAAACAGGCAAAGTATTTGCATAGGTATAATGAGCAATTAGCCTTCAACAAAATTTCTGAAATCCATATGCGCCTGGCATCAGAGAAGGACTAAGTTGGTTTAACACTGAAAATATTTTACACATTTAAAAATCTTTTTTCCTAGAAATCTAATTATAATCAGTCCCCAGGGTGGGCTAAGTAAGTCATGTATTGAAAAAAAAGAGGCGTAATAACGCCTTTTTAAAAGACTTAATAACGCCATTTTAAAGGGCGTAATAACGCCTTTTGGAAAGGCGTAATAACACCTTTTGGAAAGGCGTAATAACGCCTTTTAGAAAGGCGTAATAACGCCTTTTGGAAAGGCGTAATAACGCCTTTTGGAAAAGCGTTATAACGCCTTTTTAAAAGGCGTAATAACGCCTTTTGGAAAGGCGTTATAACGCCTTTTGGAAAGGCGTAATTACGCCTTTTTTCGCGTTATAACGCCTTTTGGAAAAGGCGTAATTACGCCTTTATTTGCGTTATTACGCCTTTTTCCGCCTTATAACGCCTTTGCAAAAGGCGTTATTACGCCTTTTTTCGCGTTATAACGCCTTTTGAAAAGGTTATAACGCCTTTTAATTTTTTTTTTACCGTAGTTTGATCCTAATAGGCTTTCGTAATAATCATATCTCTTATCAGGCAGATAATTGTAATTTATTACACGTATTGAAATCTGAACGGTATACCGTTACGACTATCTTGCCTTTTGTAAGACGACTGGTTCCTCAGTTGGAGCTACTATAAATACACGTTTCATTTGTTAAAATTATACTTTTCTACATTTAAATCAATTATTTATTTCAAACATTGACAAATATAAATTGACAAATATCAAATGGAATTTCTTATTGTACACCTACAAAAGTCTTCATACAATTTTACTTCCAAAATAAGTATACCTACGCTAACCTTTCATGAGTGTAGGATGATGCATATTTAAGATAAAACAGATTTTATTCATTTTATCGAATATTCCAATATATTCGAATACTTTCATTGAATATTCGAATATGAATTACTGACAAAATTGACATCCCTAGTTACAAGGTACATGTACATTATTAAAATGACCCTTAGGTCAGGGATAAGGTCACGAATAAGGTCAAGATTCTAACAAAAAAAGGTGAACCCCCCCCCCCCCCAAAAAAAAAAAAATTAAAAAATCGTTTTCTCAAGAACTGCAATTCTACAAACTGTGAGATTCATATCAGTGTTGATTCAATAATGTCCAAACCATGGCTCTAGGGCAGAAATAGACTCACGAAGGAGTCCGAAGTTTTACACAAAACTTATCTTGGATCATTTTTTATAACTACTCTGTAGTCGTGTATTATTGAAATAGAGATGGATGAAGCATTAGGTGTTTCTATATATTTTTATTATTAGGAAATGAGCGTCTCGGAAGAGGATAGGGATATAGCTGCCTGTGAGGTGAGAAATAATATAACACGTACGAGGAAAAACGTCCGTGCGTTTAATAATAATTTAACAGATGGAAAGCTGGGCGAAAAATCGTTACTACCTTGCAATCTTTGCTCACATCACATAAAAACTGAAGCTGCAGAACTGGATAAAGAGATCGGTAGATTTAGAAACCTATTTAAAGACAGCAGTAATTATCCATTCGTCAAATGCAATTGCCAACCAAAGTCAGTTGGTGAGTATTCAAAAAACAAAAACAAAAACAAAACAAAACAAAACAAATAAATTTATAGATTAATAAAGTTTTATTTTCTTCATTTTAACTTAATTTCCAGTCTCAAAAAATATTACACATTTATAAAAATTGGTCTTCGTCAAAGGTTATGTTTATATATAAACATTTGTTGAAAAACACTATTACCCCTGAATAATCAAGCCATGCCCTCCAGCATAGCAACAGTCAACATTGCTTGACGACGGGTGTTATTCCAAAAAATATTGACTGTGTAGAATTTATGCGCGCAAGGTTCACTGTAATACATTCAGTATAATGTAATAAATGCTGCGCCTCGGTTGACAATGGTTTTCTTGGAGTGAAAATTTTCAATGTTACACTCAACTACATGCAGTATTTATATAATGTGTACTGTTATATCAGTGTGTGATTAATCATTCGTAAGAATGCTTTTTACGGTCTCGTTTAGGTTGCAGAGACAACGATTCCGATAAATTCAGTTTTGATTGGAGGAATGTACGCAAATGCATGTCTGAGACGAGGAAAGCATTGAGGGCTTACAGTGACAAGCTAGATGATAGTAAATACAAGGGTGAAGATATACGGCCATGTCAAACATGCAAAAAAGGACTCGTTGACGAATGCAAAGGTCTTGAAGAAGAAATAAGCAAGATACAGAGTAATCTTTCATTCAAGGAAATAGACATCGACCGAGAGCTCTGCAACTGCCAATGTATGTTTAAATATAATTTTATTTTAGGAAAGTCTTCTTTGAGGGTCTAAAGAATGATAGTTATCATAGCATAGTATTCAAATACGAATTACCATATGCTCCAACTGCAATCGACTTATCATTCCCAAAGTTCTCATAAACTAGACATTTATTCCTTATATTTACAATAATGCTTATGAAATGAAATATATTCGAAATTATTCTATTTCTTTATTTCTACGTAATTTCCATATTTGTTCTTAAAATAAAATCCCCACCTTCTGTACGCCATAACAAATTTATTCTGTAAGCAAACGATTTCATGCATACAAACCATAAGTGAGTCTTAGTTTTATTTTTCCTCTATTTCATTGAAAAATGAAATGTATAATTCTTTGCAGTTTCTTAACATAATTTCAAAATAATTTTATCTGTTTGCATTGCGGTAATATCACATGTCAAATTTGAAGTCAAAATTTTACGAGAAATTATAGTAATTTGAGATTAGAAATTTTGCCTTGATGTTTTTATTAATTATTCTCAATGTATAGTGTAAATTTTGTTATGCATTTTAAGACTAGAAAAATTGATTAATTCTGCATAACCCAGTGAAAAATCATGGAAATCGGGTTAAAAATTGACTTCACGATAAGTTTTTGTAAAAACTGTTTTTTCAAGAAATAGTGTAAAATGCAATATTATGACTCACTTTTGGCCATATGCTGTTGTCTGATTCCCAGGTCGAATGTGAGTTTTGTGTAACAAAGGAAACACCAACATTTTAAATCAGCGCCTCGTTCTTTGGAGAGAAAAAATATCTGAATGGATTCAATGTATACCTTCGTCTTCTTTTATTCAAGAATAAATCATTTGATAGGTATAACACTAAAACTGCGCAAACATTAATGTTGTTATGATCCAGTAACTTTGTTTGTTTGTTTGTATGTTGTTTAACGTCCCTCTCGAGAATTTTTCACTCATATGGAGACGCCATCACTTGCCGGTGGAGAGCTGCAAATTTTGTCCTATACTCGGCACTTACGGCCATTTAGCAGTGAGGGATCTTTTTCGTGCCAGCACCCACTGCGACACGGGACCTCGGTTTATACGGTCTCATCCGAAGGACCGGTCTCCACGTCCCACAGTGGATTCGGACGTAAGGATCAACTCCTTACTTCCCGGCTCTAAAGCAGACGCTCTAACCACTGCGCCACTCGGGCGACTTATGATCCAGAAATAAAAATAATTGTCCAAATTGTTTTTATTTAAACGCTTGCAGATATTGAGCTGATTTTTGGTCAGTGAATGTACTTTGATGAGTTACAGATCAAGTTTGCACTTCGGTGAATTTTATAGAAATGCAGTCGATCTTTTTAATTTTTAAGGGGACCAGATTACACTTGCCGGTAGGATATTATTTCTCAGACTGCTTGTTCTTAAATATCTATTGGAATTATGGCGAGTTGATACGTGCTCAAATCTGCCATAAAGCCCTTCCAGTGGCAGTTTATCTCATTCCCATTTGAAGTAAATAAAAGGCAAACCAAAACAATCCAATACAAGTAAAAAAAAAGCTTAATACATGTAGATCTTATGATGGGAGAAAAGGGGGAAAATGATATTCTGACATGTTTCTTGTTTACTTTATAGATGGAGAAATGTGGTGTCCTATAGAAATGAGACCAGCTGGGTTCAGAGGAAGTAAGTATACATGTTTTTAATAAGTTAAATTATCAAAATGTCAAGGACAGAATTAACTGAAATTGAAAATCGACGTGACTATTACTTCAAGTGCTTTATATATTATTTCCATGATCACTTTTTTTTAAAAATGATATATGTATTAATTACTGTTTGCTTTTTTTAAATAGGACAAATCATGGACCAAAGTGACAGTGGGTTTATAAGCGTAGGGTCAAAAGTTTTACCTGGTAAGAGACATTCTACAAAGCACACACACACACACCCTCACACACACACACACACCCTTGTTTGTAAATCCAGCCAACTGACTACATTTGAAATTTTACCTTCATCTCGCTTCACCGATTTAGAGGCTTGAAAAAGAGAAAGTAAGACCAGAATATACCGAGGTTAACCTTAGGATTTCTCTGTATCTATAGGAATTTTTGATATCTTTTACTTTAAGTATATTGAAATTCGACATGAATCTCACTACATTTTTACACTTATTGAACACACACGTGCAAATCAGTACAGCTAATTCAACCGTCAATTCACTACAAGGTTATAAACACACAGGAAAATCGCTACAGCTAGTGATCATGTTTAATTTTTTAATTGCACCGTTTATTTTATTTTATTTACTGGTATAAATGGTGTATGTATGTACAAGACAGTACACAAGATCAAAGGAAAAGATTGGATATACGGCAAATATGTATGTTATCAGAGCTGTTCCCATGTTGACATATACATGTATACAGCATGTACAGCGCCGGTCTAACATAAACTCTAATAACATTAATCTCAGAGTCGATAATTGAAGATATCTTTTAATAATCATTAATCTCAGAGTCGATAATTGAAGATATCTTTTAATAATCAAGGACATCATCAATTCATTTTTTATTATTAATAATGGAATGAACGATACTTTCTTTTAATGAAAGAACGGAAAAAATCTTTTTTAAGACAATCTCTAAGTTGATTCTTTGCGAGTAAATTTTCCGCCACTGTATTGAAAGGCCTATCTTCGATTCAATTGATAAGCGCATCAAATCAATTATTGCTCTCCTTTATTGAATAGTTGCGCGTATAAATCCAGCTGATGAGAGGAATAACTGATCTGATGCTCTCACTCATTCAGAAAATGTATTTCAAGCAGTATCCTAAGCATTTCTTGTATCTTTTCTTTCCATGTAACATCTGTGCAAGATTCGTTAAGCTAAAAACTAGTCCCCTACTGGTAAAAAAGGTTCTTTCCTCAACTGTCTGCCTGTCTGTCCCTCTGTAAGTCCTTCCCATGGCACTTGAATTTTCCGCCCTTTTTCTACAGCTTGCAAAAATTGAACTGATGTTTGGTATGTGAGTCTACCTTTACTAAGTTACAGATCAAGTTTGAATTTCCGCTTTCAAGAGTTTTGACGGAATTACGGGCATTTCAATTTTTTAGGAGAACCAGATAACATTTGCCGGTAGGGTGCTAGCATTGCATATGCAATACTCTCAAAATGCTTGTTAAAGTTACGAAAAAAGCTACTCCCTAAGCACCTAAATGGTCACTTTTGCTGATAATGAAGGAAAAAGCAGCATCCGAAGCAATACTGCTATTATCAGCAGTCAATATTAGCTGCTCGGCATTAAGCTAGATAACTTGCGATTTATAAGTTCTTTCAAAATTTAGAGTAGTGGCATGTTTGAAATATATATTCTTTCAGCATCGAATTTTCTTTAAATTTTTCCCAAAAAATCCCTGTGTGAAGAATCGTGTGGTCAGTTAGTAAAAAAACAAAGTCGAACGTCAATTCATCATAGTTTCAAAACAGTAAATATTCCGTGATCTGGGTAACCAAAAAGTTAGTGGAATTAATTGTATAAATGATAATTCATTCTCATTAATACCCAATGATAATCGCCCAAGTTCAAGTGCAAGTTCAGTTTATTCACCCAACCCAAAATAATAGTACATGGGATACATTTATAACATATATATATATATATATATATATATATATATATATATATATATATATATATATATATATATATATATATATATATATATATATATATATATATATATTTCATATAAACTGTTCAGAGGTACAATATCTATATATACAATGCAAAAACATGATAAAACATAGGTAATCAGAGATTACAGAGCTCACCTCAACGAATGTTGTCTTTAAGTAAGGCAAAGTCCCACACTAAACTAATAATCTAGGAGTGTGCATCCCTAGATGCAACATTTATGCAATTTTGGTCTGATAGGGCTTGCAGTTACTTGGGAATGGACTTATCTGAAAACTTAAAACTAGACACTCATTCAGAAAATGTAAGTCAAATCCAGCATCCTAAGCAAGTTTTGAGATTGTTCGTCCCTTGATGCATCATCCATGCAAGTTTGGTTCAGATAGGCCTTATAGTTACTTGGAAATGAGATCTGCTCCAAAAACTTTAATCTGGTCACTCATCCGGAAAATATAGGTCAGATCCAGCATCTGAAGCAAGTCCAGTAGTGTGCATCCTAAGATGTATCATCCATGCAAGTTTGGTCAATATAGGGTTTATATATTTACTTGGAAATGACATCTGCTCCAAAAACTTTAACCTGGTCACTCATCCGGAAAATATAGGTCAGATTCAGCATCTGAAGCAAGTTCAGTAGTGTGCATCCTTAAATGTATCATCCATGCAAGTTTGGGCAATATAGGGCTTTTAGTTACTTGGAAATGGGGTCTGCTCCAAAAACTTTAACCTGGTCACTCATCCGGAAAATATAGGTCAGATTCAGCATCCGAAGCAAGTCCAGTAGTGTGCATCCTTAAATGTATCATCCATGCAAGTTTGGTCAATATAGGGCTTTTAGTTACTTGGAAATGAGATCTGCTCCAAAAACTTTAACCTGGTCACTCATCCGGAAAATATAGGTCAGATCCAGCATCCGAAGCAAGTCAAGTAGTGTGCATCCTTAGATGTATCACCCATGCAAGTTTGGTCAATATAGGGCATATAGATACTTGGAAATGAGATCTACTCCAAAAACCTTAACCTAGTCACTCATCCGGAAAATGTAGGTCAGATCCAGCATCCGAAGCAAGTTCAGTAGTGTGCATCCTTAGATGTATCATCCATGCAAGTTTGGTCAATATAGGGCTTATAGTTACTTGGAAATGAGACCTGCTCCAAAAACTTTAACCTGCTCCAAAACTTTAACCTGCTCCAAAAACATTAACCTGGTCATTCTTTAGCTGAAATTGCAGCATCTGAAACCTTGACTGGTACAATGAAACACACTAGAAGCATCCTCCATGCATCTCTGACTAATATAGGCCATAAAAGTACTTGAAAAGAAAACTGCTCCAAAAACCTTAACCTGGGACGCCGACGCCGACACCGACGCCGACGCCGAGGGTATTACATAAGCTCCCCCAACTTCGTTGAGGTGAGCTAAAAATGAATAATGATAATGATAAAAATACTTCGCCGTTCCATTTTTAACCATTTTCAAGAGAAAATTCTTAAAAGATTACATATAGTAATATACCCTAGTGTATAGTTAAGAAGATGCGAAGACTCCCTGACCGCTTGGGAAAGTGTGTTTTAACACCCTACTACTCAGATCGACCGGTGGGGGAGACTTTCAATGATTTGAAAATACGCTATCTAACAAGAAACATGTGGTTTAGCTAGAAAATGCTAAAATGCATTCTCTAAACGGACAGTGTGTCTCAAGCCGCCTCAATACCCTTGATAGATTCAGGGCAAAGCCCAGATGATGGCGCAGAGGACTAAAGTCCCTGAAAGCTCCGGAATTTTGACGATGCAAAGCCATTTTATTCACAGAAGAAGTTGGAGAATAGATAAATTTTTGTTCTTATTCTAGTGAGGCATACTGGGCGACTGATATTTCTCGGTACTACATTAATAGAGTATTTGAAAATTTTTTAAAGAAGATAAATCAATCATAAGTTAATGAAATACATTATAACGTGTACATAAACAGAAAATTTAAAAGGGTGTTTTAGTGATAACATTTTTGTATCGTGTTCCTACAATGAATTTCAGTATAAATATGAAAGTAAAAATTAAGAGAAAATTCATATACGAAGATGGCTTTCTATGCAAACTTCGTGATAATTATAGTTTTGTCAATGATAAAATATGTACAACCTTTGATTTTGAGTATCCTATGCCCTGAAGGAGTATTAATTTTTTTTAATCAATTTACTTTGGGGGAGACTAAACGATGTGCATGCTTGAGCATATAAGGAAATATGGAAGCTCTGCCATACCAGCCAAATTAACATACTTTTTATGTTACTTGTGTTAAAGATATATTCAAATAAAGCATGTAAATTGAAATGATAAAAAAAACATGTGATAATTGGTTAGAAATTTTAAATATTTCAGCAATATTAATAATGCCATCACATTGTTGGGGCTCGAGTTAAATTCCACTGATGAGAAGAATGACTGAATTTAATTGCTGCTAGCATCAAATCAATTACTGATCTCATCAATTCAAATGATGCGCGCCTTAATTTTTCTAATGTTTGCCAGCATCAATAATTCGCATTAATTCAATTGATGAGAGCAATAATTGATTGGCACTTCAGTTCTTTTGAGAGCAATGATTGATTTAATGATATATTTCAAGTAATTTAAGATGACTTCACTATTTCGTGTTTAAGAAATACAAGAATACAAGAAAACAATGGATAAATGTATTAAAGAATATTCTTTATCTATAACGTCAAAATTAGAAAATTTACAGAAAAGTGATATTAAGGAATATTGGAGAATTTTAAATAGTTCGAAGGCTAGATGTAAAACTGAAGTTGATATCAAAGCAATGTACGCTTTTTTGAAGAATAAAAAATAATGAATCTAAAGATGATGAAGGTGATGTAGATGATAATGATGTCAATTTCGATAATAACTCCCCTTTAAATTGTCAAATCTCTGCAGAAGAAATCTTGCAAGCAGTTAACAAACTGAAAAATAATAAAGCTCCAGGGTATGATCAATTCTGTAACGAATATATTAGTACAACAATATCATGTTTTTTGCCACTATATGTTGACCTTTTCAATTTGATTTTTGATACTGGTTTTGTACCTGAGGAATGGCTTATTGGTATCGTTAAGCCAATGTATAAAAACAAGGAAGACCCACCTCTTCCTGAAAACTATAGACCAATAACACTATTAAGCTGTTTAGGAAAAGTATTTACCAGTATTTT